AATAATTTTTTTAATTTTTTGTTTTTAAAAAGTTAAGTTTTGGAATGAACTTGATTTATTAATTTGCAAGACATTGAACAAAATAAAACTATTGACATTGTAGCATAAATAAATAAGTTTCATAAGCTATATATTCTAACGTAAATAAGGATACTCACGCAGAGATAAGTATGAAAAATAAAAAATAAAGGGGTACAATACAATTTCCCACCCCACCCGCGTACTATACGTACAATAGTAAGAAAACTAAAAAAGAATTATGGATACACCCCACACTATATGAGTATATGTACGATATTTAGAAGAAAAAAATATATATATTATGGGTACAATTGCCTCCATGAGAATTTTTATGGGTACAATTGCCCCCATATTATACACACGGATATATGCATAATATTAAGGAGAATAAATATATGGTACAATTTTTTTCTATATAACTTGCAATTTTAGTCTCAAGTTTTAATTTTATAAATTTCAAATTTTCAATTTTGTATAATTTAAATGTTTAGTTTAACAGTTAAATATTTATTTACTAGTTGTTAAAATTTAAAAATTATAACATTAATCATAATTTGATAATGATGTGATAATTAATATTTAGATTAAATTGTGCTTTTAATTTTTATTTTTGTCTTATAAAAATAGTAAAAAAAGATATAAAAAAATAAAATAAAAGTATAATATTATTTAATTATTATTATTATTATTATTATTATTATTTTCCTCGTCGTTGTCATTCTCATAATTATATATATTCATAATTTATTGTTATCCTAACTATTTCTCATTATTATTATTATGATTAATTGTAAAAAGTAATAATTACGTTGAAGATGATAATTTTAAATGAGATTTTTAATCTCACAATTCTATTTTAATATTAGAATTAAGATTTTAACCATTTTTATTTCCATGAAAACATATTGTTATGATATATATTCTCCGCCTCTTAAATGCTAATTACTACTTCCACATTGTAATGAAAAGAAAATACAATAGAGAATAAAAAAAAACATTTATGGTGGTATTAATTATGCTTTTAGAAAGAAAAAAAAAACAATAATCATAGTAAATATTAATTTGTTTTCTAAATATATATATATATATATTATATATATATATATATATATATATTTTGTTTATAACGGATCATTGATATATTATTGCAATTGTGACTTCGGAAATGAGTTTTTCAGAATTTAAATTACTTAAATAGTTAAATCCTATTTTTGATTAGTCATGAATGATTATACATATAAATGAATGTTAAAATCACTTGATTATGATAAATAGTTGTACCTCTGAATAGTTAGAAAAATAATATAAATATTAATAATTTACACAACATTAAAATAAGATAATTTTACTTAAGGTTAGATATGATATTGATGGGCAGAGAATGAGATTGAGAGCTGAGAGAGGTGATGGTGGGGTTGTTGCCTTGTTGGCGGCCATGAATATGACGCATCATCAAAAGCCTATGCAATGCGATACACCGGAACATAACTCCCAACCGGCTTCAGATCCAACTGCACCACTTGGCCCAACCCTTCCAACTCTATCTTGCATAAAAAATAAGAGTTTAATTTTCGTATATCATTTTATATAATTATTATAAAATCAATAACATTACTATAATTTTTAAAAACCACAGTCAATTATAAATAATTTTTACTATAATTTAAAATATTTTGAATTATCATTGATGGAATATTTAATTTTAATTGACTTCAAACACTTATTGTTATAATTTATTTTATACATTAACAACCATTTGAAATGCGTATGTACAGGATCATAATGAATACAGTATGTATAAGATCACGAAATAGTATAAAGCAAGGCATTTTCTTTAAGAATGATATTAATTAAAAGTGATTCGCATAATTAAACCCTTTTTTTTTACAATGCATAATTAAACTTTCACTATTGATTAACCACAATTACCCTTTTAATACGAGATAAGCCAGCCAGCCCCAGCACGCTGTGTTTCCAAAATCCGACATAATGAAAACATTTATAATGTTTTGGGGGGTCACAGATTGAGAGAGAATTTGTGTGATAACGCAAGATAAATAACTTATACAAAACAATATGGTTATAATTAAACGGAACTTAGAGTTAATCAGCAGAAGAAATTACTTTCTCACAATAAATAATCACAGCTTGAATATTTATCAAGAAAAGTGCTATTATTTAATTATTAACTATATTTCGAATTATCGAATATACTTGTTTTCTAGGAAAAATATGAAAAAAAGAATACGGTTTATTAAATAGTACAAGAAACTGTTTTTATAAATTTTTTAGAAAGTTCTTATAGTTTAAAACTTATTGAAACTCCATTAAAATATATAACTTACAAATGTGCTTCTATAAATTCACAAAAAAAATAAAAAGAAAAGAACTCCTTATAGACAATGGATTGTATTAAAAAAAATTAAGACTACTAAAATACATTTATATATATAGTTTACAAAGTAGCAAGTAAGATATATTTTGAAAGTTTGCGTAGTAAAGTTTTTATTTGAGTAATTATTAAAATGAAAGTTAAATTTAAGGAAGAAGAAAAAAAGAGTAAAGAGAAAAGCAAGGTAGAGGCGTGTTTGAGTCGCAGACAGGCATTGGACAGTTGACCGTTGACTTGGCTCCAGAGTGTTGGCGCCAACAGGGAACAGGGTCCGTTCCGTTTTTTTGTTGCAAAATGAAGTAGGGGTAAAAAGGTAATTAGAAGAAAGAAATGAGGGTAATAATGGAGCGCAGAGCACAGCAGAGGTGATGTCTCCTCAAAATAATAGAAAGTGCAAAGAGGAAGGAACATAATAATAGTTGCTGCATGATCCACTCCCACGCCCCCATGATTGCGCGTGGTTACAAACCCAAACCCAAACCTAAACCTATTCTCTAATCATAGGCACGTGGATTAAACCTTATTCTCCTAAACCAAACCACATTTTCGCCAAATTAATCCTCTTCCCTTCCATATGCACTCAAAAATATTAAATACTATATTTTACTATTACATAATTTAAATTACTTCAAATTATTTTTTTTGTATAACTTTTCACGTAATGTTTCGTTTAATTTTTTTTATTATGTAGCACTAAATATTAAAAAATATTTATTTTAAAGTAAAATATGGGAGGATTTTTAAATTACATAAATGTAAAAACATAAATTGGAATAAATATCTTTAAATCAAATAAAGCTATAAATACATAATTAAATTAAGAAAAACCAAATTAAAAATATACAAAGGATATAATGGTGTCAATTATTTCTTGTATTAATAAATATATGCAAAACTTCTAAACAAAGGATATAATGGTAGTTGAGACTTTAGAAAGGATTTTTAGAGTTATACATAAGTCGATTTGAGTTTAATTTGACCAAACACATTAACTAAACCTACAACAAAATTAATACTCAAATTTGGGTGGCGGATTTTTACATTTTTTATGACAAATTCGACCCGAACTAACCACCTGATAAATGACACATTACTTGGATCGAGTCTATCATGTCCACAAGGTTAAAAACTGATGTTTTTTTTATTCAATAAATAATGATTAAATAATCAAATAAATACAAAAATATAATTAAAAATTAATAATAAATTATTATGCCAACAGGTCGAGTTTATGAGTTAAAAATACAAACGCACATTACTCAACTTGACGACATCGAGTTGGAACAAGTTTTATCCGAAGAACAACCAAATTCAAATAAAGGTATTTAGATCAATGCAGATAGAATCGAGTTTATAAAATTCCTGAACCCATGGAAAGGAATTGATAGAAAAAGTTGATAATATAATAAGTTAATTTTTTTAATGTTGGATTAAAAATTAGGACGAAATTTAAATAGTTTTGTTAAATATTGTTATCCTAATTTTTTTAATTAGAATTGTATTAACACTACAATAAATATTACATATAGTAACATATAAAAAATATTATATATGTAAATATATATCTATTTGGCATATAGCTACACACAATTTTATTGTTGATTTTGAATGAGATTTAACAATATATTTTGTGTGTTACTATAACTTATATCCACATTTTTTTAACAATATACTAACATATATTATATTTATTGTGTAAGTAAAAATAATTTTTAGTGACACTTATTGTGTCACTATATGACAATTTTCTTGTAATGTAATGAAATTTATATTAAATATAAATATATATTATTAACCTAAAATGTCAATTTTAACTGAATTAAGTATCAATGACAACTAATAAATTGTATGTAAATTTTATCTTAAAATTTAGTTGATTTAGTTTTATCACTAATACCGATATATAGTATCTAATTTAAATTTTGATAAAACTTGTTGCGTGATTTTAAATTTGACCAACTGTCTTGATTTAAGATCAATAATAATATGTTGATAAATTCGATTTTGAATATTATATAATTAAATAATTTTTATATTTTAAATAATTTTATTGTTATATGTATAATATAATGTTATATTATATAAAATACTACCTATTAAATTAATAATAATATTATTATAAAAATTTTATATACAACTTATAATAATAAAAACTAGATTGCGATAATAGCTAGTATATATAAAAATTAACCTCAGTTCATATATATGGTGAATAGGATTGTCACCAACAACTGGCAGCCAAATTGTTGAAAATAAATATTGTGAGGGACTGGATTCAAATGGTGGTATCAAAAAAGAAAAAAGAAAAAAGAAAAAGCATTGTGACGAATAAATAATCCATGTATAAAAAGAAATGGTAAATACTCCATCATTTATTACCAACATATATAAATATAATTAGACGTATGTCACATAATTAATATAATGATAAATAAAATTAAATGAATAGGAGCTAATGGATGGATATGGAAGGAGAAGAAGGAAAAGGCGGTTTGAGTTTTGATATATTATTATTAATTGTTAAATAAAGATTGAATAATGGAAGCAGGTGGGGGCTGCTGTGTATATAATTCATGTCCTTATTATGTGAGGCCCTTTCCTCTTTTTCCAACTTTTGCTTTCTCTTCCCTCCCAATTTTCTCTCTCTCTCTCTCTCTTTTATTTTTTCATCTCTGACCTAATTCTCTCTCTCTCTCTCCTCTTCTTCTTCTTCTCTTCTCACCAATATCACACTCATCTCCTTCACCTCTCTAAATTTCTCATCTTCACCACCTAGATCTCTCTGTCCAGTTCATACACTCATTGTTTCACAAAATACAAAATAACACTGGGAAGTTTTGTCATAGCTGAGCTGACTCTAGCTAGAGGATAATAACAAGAAGATTAAGATCATCAACCACAAGAAAGAGGAAGAACAAGAGCTTTGTTATTGGATCCACAGAATTCAACATGACTCCAGTTAATTTGGCAGGCCAGTTTGGTGACACCACATACACTAAGGTCTTTGTTGGAGGCTTGGCCTGGGAGACTCAAAAGGAGACCATGAAGAAGTATTTTGAACAATTTGGTGAGATCTTGGAGGCTGTTGTCATCACTGACAAGGCCACTGGAAGATCTAAGGGCTATGGATTTGTACATCCCTCTCTCTCTTTCTCTCTGTGTCTTTCTTGAATTCTTATTATATGTGTACCTCTAGCTACCTAGATCTCAACTCTGAATGAAGTAATATACCATATTACATGTTTTCTTTCACTAGCCTGTCATTGGCAATTTCACCTTCCTTATTAGTTTCATGATTATTATTATTTCCATTTCAGGTTACTTTTCGCGAACCAGAAGCTGCCATGAGAGCTTGCGTGGATGCTGCTCCTGTAATCGATGGTAGGAGAGCCAACTGCAACCTTGCTTCTTTGGGTGTTCAGAGATCTAAGCCTTCAACCCCAAAGCATGGTATGTATATATATTTACCAACTTATCTATAATATGTTTCTTCAGCTTTCATGATCTATTATTAATCCCATCTGATCTGAATTTACAAGGTTCTCAATCTCATTGATATGATGTATAAGATCTCACATAAGTTGCATAAAATCTTCTGGTTTTAAGTTTGTCACTGTTCAAAGATGCTCTCACATTTCTCATACCATTTTTATCATCAATATACTCCACGTATAATAAGCTCGATCGATGTTAATGGATATTCCTCTCTAGCAAATTATTATTGTGCTTGAGTGAAATCCAAGTCATAACATATGTGTCGATCAATGTGGAAATATCCTTTGATAAGAATGGAAGACGCACAGCTAAATGGCAGCTAAGGTTGAATATTCCTCCAGAGTGGAAAGTTCCATTAAGTGAGAGTTTTATTTCATGTATATTTTTGGGAAACAAATGGAAGAAATGTCCCTAAGAAGCATGGAACCAAAGCAGTACGTCTACTGCATTTATTCCCTTTGGTTATTTTTCACTAACCCAAATACATCATAGCACGAGTTGAGTTGTCATGCATATCTAGTCTTAAAATGAAACAGTATTTAATTTTTCTTAATGCATATATATTAGTGTTGGTATTGATTAAGTTTGGTGTATTGGCAGGAGGAGGAGGAGGGAGGAACTTTAGAGTAATGGGTTCTTTCCAGACAGGATTTGGAGGAGGAGTGGGATCGGCTTTTCCATCAGCAGCAACCTTCCCTCATTATGCCATCCAGCAAGGGATACCTTATAATGTTTATGGGTATGAATATGCTTTTACTCTTTATGGCATTAGCATGCTACTCCTCTCTCCTCTCTCTCTCTCTCCTTTGCATTTGTACTCAATGGCACGTGCAATGCCAACTCATGCACAACCAAACACCCCCCAACATATATATTAACCTGTAACCAAGCATGCCTTGCTAGTTGCTAGCTATAATATTCTTTTATGACAGAATCAACCTCCTCTTCACATGATACCTATAGAATAGAGAGATACCTTTTCCGTCAACCTTCTCTCTCTCTCTCTCATAGTCATGTGCCAGCAGGGGCAAAGAAAAAGGACAATGCACATCTGTAATTAGTCTTCCACGTCCTTAACCTTTATCTGTTACCTAATTAATTAATCAATTTCCACATTTAATCATGAAGCTGCATGTAAACTCCACCTCAATGAAGGATCCACATTCATGCAGCATGCTCCATACATTTTACTTCCTAAATTAATTAACTTCAGATTCTTACCTTTCTCTTTCGTTTTTTCTTTGATCACTATTTTCAGGTACTCTCCTTACTCGCCGGATTACACTTACCCTACGGTTTGTACACATTTTATTACTTTAACTTTTTACTTTTTTCTTTGTCTACATTGTCTTTTACTTAGGATGCGTTTCCAAGCATGGCTTTTCGGACACATGGCTTTTCAACTTATGAAATCAAACTATTTCCACTGTTTTTTCTCATTCAAATATTTAATAAGTAGATTTCTAAAAACAATTATCGCCTTAAACAATCTCCATAATTCTATGTATAAGATATATTCTCCTATTTTTCTTCTTCTTCTTCCGTTTACCAATTATTCTTCCCTTTTATATTATTCACATTTTGTAGCATTGCACCTTGCAAATTGACTTATTATTATTATTATTATTATTATTATTACGCCACGTTAAATCGAATTTTGAAGATTTTCTTTGAAATTTTGTCAACAAAATATTCATAGTTACAAAGAAAATAAAATAGTGAGCAAATCAGGCAAGATGAATCAAAAGTAAATATCCTCTTGACTCGCAACTACTTGAAATTAAGATTCGTCATTTGTAATTATTGTAAATATAATGAATTTGATTCACATATGCACATGATACATACATTACACATTAGACTTTTCTATAATATATATATATATATATA